AGGGAGACCCAGTGAGACATCCACACCAGGTCACCCTCAGAAGAACTGCCCCTGCCTCTAGGACACGGCCTGCCCATCAAGAGGCCACGTCCCCCCCAGCAGGGCACGGATCTGAGTCACTGCCCCGGCCTCCAGCTGCAGCTGCTGACGCACAGCGATGGCTCAGGAACTGGGCATCTGCCCATCCCGCAGACTGGACTGCACCATGGCTCCTGGCTCTGACCCCTGCAGACCTCCGGGGACTGAACCAGCTGAGGGCCACGCCGTCTCAAGTAAAGTTAAACATTTTAAAAAAAAGAGTGGCTCCAAACAAGCAAGCATCATCTCAAGTCATCTCTACCTTTCTGCTAGGTCTTCAGCCAGCAGTCCCGATCTCCTGCCATCCTTCCCACGCCGGCCACACTGCAGGCCAACTGGGCGCCCGGCCGCGGCAGCAGGACTCAGACACGTCCGCTTCCTCGAATCTGCTTCCAGTCTCACCTCGCCACGCTGTCTTCTGGCCTCACACCGCCAGGCTCCTCCCTCTGTGACGGTGCACATCTGACCCCTACTTCCTGCTTCCCAGGGGTGACTGTCCCCTACTCTGCACAGCACCAGGTCACGCAGACCCTAGGCCAGCAGCTGCCTCCCAGGGCCCCAGGGACTGTCTCGGGCTGTCTGGGTTCCTGGTGTCTGACAAGCACCAAGCGTGTAGTGAGCACTCACTTCTAAGTTAACAAGCAGAGATGTGGATTTTGAAAACTAATATCATATGTAAAATTTCTACTCTATGAAAAGACCTTACACAAAAAAAAAATTTAATATGGTAGACTAGGAAGGATGTAAATTTATATACCCATATTATCACTAACTCCTTTTTTTTTTTTTTAATTTTTATTTTTTTTTTTATTTTTGATAGGCAGAGTGGACAGTGAGAGAGAGAGACAGAGAGAGAAAGGTCTTCCCTTGCCATTGGTTCACCCTCCAATGGCCGCCGCTGCAGCCGGCGCACCGCGCTGATCCGATGGCAGGAGCCAGGATCCAGGTGCTTTTTCCTGGTCTCCCATGGGGTGCAGGGCCCAAGCACCTGGGCCATCCTCCACTGCACTCCCTGGCCATAGCAGAGAGCTGGCCTGGAAGAGGGGCAACCGGGACAGAATCCGGCGCCCCAACCGGGACTAGAACCCGGTGTGCCGGCGCCGCAAGGTGGAGGATTAGCCTATTGAGCCACGGCGCCGGCTACTAACTCCTTTTTTTAAAAAAAGATTTATTTATTTGAAAGACAGAGATACAGAAAGAGATAGAGCCAGAGCACGAGAGAGGTCTCCCATCCACTAGTTCACTCCTCAAATGACTGGGATGGTCAGAGCTGCACTGATCCAAAGCCAGGAGCTTCTCCCAGGTCTCCCACGCAGGTGCAGGGCCCAAGCACTTGGGCATCTTCTACTGCTTTCCCAGGCCACAGCAGAGAGCTGGATCTGAAGTGGAGCAGCCGGGACTCCAACCAGCGTCTATATGGGATGCCAGCACTGCAGGCAGCAGCTTTACCCACTACACCACAGTGCCGGCCCCCAAGAAAACATCTTTCTAAGAGATCCAACCGTGTCACAGGTAATAATCATATTCAGAAATGTTATGGTGGCCACATCTGTCTGCTGAACCCATAATCAGGAAATACTGCAAGATCAAATATTTCAAATTGATTTTTTATTTGTTTAAAGATTTATTTGTCTGAAAGGCAGAATGACAGAGAGAGAGAGAGATTTTCCATCCACTGGTTCACCCCCTAAATGGCTGCAACAGCCAGGGCTGGGCCAGGCTGAAGCCAGGAACCAGGAACTCCATCCATGTCTCCCACATGGGTGGCAGGGGCCGAAATACTTGGGCCAGCTCCCGCTGCTTTCCCAGGCTCATTAGCAGGGACCTGGATTGGAAGCGGAGCATCTAGGACTCGAACCAGTGCCCACATGGGACGTGAGCCTCACAGGCAGCAGCCTAACCTGCTATGCCAACAGTCCCGGAGCTACCGATTTTAAAAAGGCGAAGGTGTGGGGCCGGTGCTGTGCACAGTGGGCTAAGCTTCGCCTGCGGTGCCGGCGTCCCATGTGGGCGCCGGTTTGTGTCCTGGCTGCTCCTCTTCCCATCCAACTCTCTGCTAATGGCTTCGGGTTGGCTCAGCTCCAGCTGCTGCGACCATTTGGTGAGTGAACAAGCAGCTCAAAGAGCCTTCTCTGTCTCTCCCTCTCTCTGTAACTCCACCTCTTAAATAAATAAATAAATCTTGAGGCCGGCGCCGCGGCTCACTAGGCTAATCCTCCGCCTAGCGGCGCCAGCACACCGGGTTCTAGTCCCGGTCGGGGCGCCGGATTCTGTCCCGGTTGCCCCTCTTCCAGGCCAGCCTTCTGCTGTGGCCAGGGAGTGCAGTGGAGGATGGCCCAGGTGCTTGGGCCCTGCACCCCATGGGAGACCAGGAAAAGCACCTGGCTCCTGGCTCCTGCCATCGGATCAGCGCGGTGCGCCGGCCGCAGCGCGCCGGCCGCGGCGGCCATTGGAGGGTGAACCAACGGCAAAGGAAGACCTTTCTCTCTGTCTCTCTCTCTCACTGTCCACTCTGCCTGTCAAAAAAAAAAAAAAAAAAAAAAAAAAAAGAATTCCTCGTGAGATTTCTGATGTTGTGTTAAAATCCTTTGGAACAGACAGCCTTCTGTCCGCAGCCCGTTACCATCTCAGAGAGCCGATGCTCGGCACTGGAAACACCATCCCCTTTGGAAGAAGACACGGCTTTCACTGAGGGGCACCCGGAAGTCCACAGAGGAAGGCAGCCTGGGCTTTGGGGAATGGGGAAGAAAGCATCCGGAAATGATCAACAGTGAATTCCCACTGATCTGAGACGACACTTGCCACAGCATAACAATCATGACCAAAAGAGAGGAAAAGACAAATTATGGAAGTAAGAATGGCCGGGAGCGGTCTTCCGCAACCACACAGCGAGCGGCTGACACAACCGTGTTCATCAGAGGTCCACCAGCCTCAACCAAGACTCGATCTGCTCGGCTCACCTCCTCCCTACCGCCCTGCGCAGCTGAGACTGAACCCACGCACAAAGCTGCTTCGGGGCCAGATCTCTGTGCCTGTGTTTAGCTCAGACCCGGCAGGTGGCGAGCAGGAGCTGGGAAACAGCCTTCAGGCTGCTCTACTGGCCACCGCAACCTGCGGCTGGATGAGGAAAGACACAGCGACGGGTGCCTGGGAGGGCAGTCATCGGCCTCCACCCGAGGCACGTGGCCACCACAGCAGGAACCTGACCGGCGACTGGAGCTCCGAATCACAGAAGCTGAGCAGAGGCCCCTTCCTTAGCCGGGAGAGCCCTTCCCCAGGCTCGACACCCAGGCCCCCTTACTCGACTCCCGCGGAGCCACCCGTCTCCTTTTCCCTCTTCAAGAGTGACGGTGCCTGCCGGGGACTGGAACGCAGGGGCTACCTGACCCCACGTCACTTACGAAAACGAGTGCCACTGTCCATTTCACTGTCTCGTCAGCCCTGTGCTAGCCTTGGGTTGCGTGCAACAGTATTTCAAGGGCTTCACTTCCCGTGTGTTCTCCTTGTGAACTCTAGACACGTCGTGTGCTCCCTAACCTTCATCTGTCCTGTGTCCTAAAAATGACCCAGAACTCTGGAGCCAGGACCAAGTACAAACTGCAGATACCGATACTCCTGTGCTCCCTGGCCCAACTGCTACAGTCAATCAAGAACCCCGCGGAGTGACACACAGGCCTCACAGAGATGTGTGTGACAATCCCCTTATTAGTAGGCGTCAGGTCCTACCGCCTCACTTCAAAGACTCAGCCTTTATGTTGGTGTTTATTACATAGCCTAGGTTGATAGTGCTAATACACGCGAAGAAATGAGAAATAGTAAACCCTTACTAAAAAACTACTCACATACCACGAGTTACAACTGAAGCCTACGATGTCTGAATTTCAGGAAATATCTTCATTTCTGAAAATAAAAGTGCTTCCATGACTGTAGATTTAGATTTTACCTTTTACTTGCCCCTAAAGAAGTACATTTTACACTACTAGGAAAACGATGACAAATAAGGAAATTGTACCTACAAAATACTGACCCTCAACACAACACGCGCTGAATACCAGGTCTGCAAGCAGGCTCTTCAAATCCCATGGGACTTCACTTCGCTAGGCAGGAAAGCAGAGCTGGAGCAGGAAGAACGCCCGTTTCCAGCCAGAAAGGAGAGACCAGCAGAGGGAAGCACGCGCCCCACACCAGGCCGGGAGGCCCGCGTGCCCAGGCGGGAGCCTCTCTATCCATGAGTTACTGGACTCCAGGCCGTTTTTGTGGTTTGGAAAGGCAAAGCCAGCATCTGCCAACAAAACGTTGCTGCTGCCTTCAGCACTGGTAACAACGGCTTACAACAACAGAGTGCCACACAGCACCCCTGCTTCCACCAGCGGTCTAGGAAACCAAGGTTCCCCAGGAGCCTGTGCAGGGCGGTCACTCGGAGCCCACCCTCCACTGCCGACTCCGCGTCCCTCGGCCAGGCCACACTTCTCATACCGCCTCTTTTACCTACTGGCTCGCCACACATGTTGTCAGTTACAAGCAGTTTAATATCATTCTTGAAGATAAAACACTGCACTTTAGACTAAGAAGTGTAACAGACTCAGCACTTAAGGAGCTAGTCACAACGTGTGATTTTCCTCAATAGTCAAATCCCAAGGAAAGCCTAGTGCACGGGAGCAGGCTGTCAGCCGTCCGTCCACAGCGCGCTCCGGCGCCCGAGCCAAGCACCGGGAAGCCCAGCGAGCAAAGGCAGTGACCGAGCCACTCACTGTGCTGGGCGACACCGTGCCTGACGTGCCGACGTGGTCACATCACCTCGTGACGGGCCAGTCACAGCCTGCACACCCCCACTGCGGGCACTCTGAGCACGAAGCCGGCACGCTCCTGTGAGAGTGTGAGAGTGCGCACGCCCGCCCGCCCGCCCGCCCGGCTCGCAGTACCTGCTCCTGCAGGTCGCGGTCGCAGCCGTCGCGCAGCAGCAGGCTGAGGACGTAGCGCGTGTAGACCATGGCGTCAATGCCGCACTTCTCCAGCTCCTGCCCCAGCCAGGCCTGCACCGGGCCCAGCGCAGGGAGCAGAGACATCGCGGACGCAGGGCCGGGCAGGAGCGCGAGGAGCTTCCAGACGGCACACCTCGCACAACCGCACAGGTAGGCTGCATGAATCTAGGTTGCAGACATCCTTAAGACACACAGCACTGTCTGCGGCTGTCACTCGTCGCTGTCTGGAGGGGATCTTCACTCCAGTGAGCAGGAGGGACGCCTGGCGTCGAGGAGAGCGCCGGTTGCTGCTGCGGTCAGCCGCCTAGAACACAGTCTCCTTCTTCAGGCATGACCCACGAGTCCCGAAGCAACATACGTGTAGATGGAATTCTCTACTTTCATTTCACATTGAGGCCGAATCTAAGTTTCCAGCAGAACCTGTAAAAATGAAAGAAAAAGTATGCATTATACACACATATACATTAAAGTATAGATCTTCCAACCCAAAAAAAAAATCAAATGAACTGTTCCTCTTTGTTAAAATGTCTTAGGGGGCTAACACTGTGGCGTGGCCGGTACAGCCGCCACCTGCAGAGCCAGCATCCCATATGGGCACCGGTTTGATCCCCGGCTGCTCCACTTCCAATCCAGCTCTCTGCTATGGCCTGGGAAAGCGGTGGAAGATGGCCCAGGTCCTCAGGCCCCTGCACCCACGTGGGAGACCCAGAAGAAGCTCCTGGCTCCTGACTTTGGATCAGCACAGCTCTAGCCATTGGGACCAACTGGGCAGTGAACCAGCAGATGGAAGACCTCTCTCTCTGCCGCTCCTTCTCTGTGTAACATTTTTTTTTTTTAGAGAATTATTTATGGGGCCGTTTCTGTCTCCGTGGCGCAATAGGTTAAGCCTCCACCTGTGGCACCGGCATCCCATATGGGTGCTGGTTCGAGTCCCAGCTGCTCCACTTCCCATCCAGCTCTCTGCTATGGCCTGGGAAAGCAGTGGAGGATGGCCCAAGTCCTTGGGCCCCTGCACCCACATGGGAGACCCGGAAGAAGCTCCTGGCTCCTGGCTTTGGATTGGCACAACTTTGGTTGTTGTGGGCATTTGGGGAGTGAACCAATGGAAAGACCTTTCTCTCTGTCTCTCCCTCTCTCTGTCTGTAACTCTACCTCTCAAATAAATAAAAAATCTTTAAAAAAATTATTTATTTGAAAGTCAGAATTACACAGAAAGAGAAAGAGAGGCAGAGGCAGAGACAGAGAGAGAGGTCTTCCATCGCTGGTTCACACCCCAATTGGCTGCAATGGCTGGAGCTGCGCCGATACAAAGCCAGGAGCCAGGAGCTTCTTCTGGGTCCCCTTCGCAGGTGGCAGGGCCCCAGGACTTGGGCCATCTTCTAAAAGGCCACAGCAGAGAGCTGGATCAGAAGTGGAGCTGCCAGGACTCAAACCAGTGCCCATATGGGATGCTGGCTCTGCAGGCGGCAGCTTTACCCGCTACGCCACAGTGCCAGCCCCATAACTCTTTCAAATAAATTAATATTTAAATTAAAAAAAAAATAAAATGTCTTTGGTAACAGAACACTGGTACTCCTTCCCCGGCTCCCAGTAATCTTCTGACATTTCAAACTAATCTCAGGATCAGTTTAACAAAAACAATTAGAAGCTGGTGTTCTGATTGTACTCAGCTATGCAGACATTCCACTGTCTCAGGAGACTGGCAGGTTAACGTGGTTACCTGCAGGGCTGAAGGGCCGGCCTACTTGCAAATCAGCGGTTCACATCCAAGCACAACAGAAGTCAGCAGCTGAACACTGACTTCACTGAAACACTGCATGGAAAGCAATTATCTTGTACGGCCACAAACTTCAGGACTGGTCATCACTTACTTCATAGAGATTAAGGTGAAATAAAAATTGGTCTTCTAGCCATGCCAGCCCTTCCTGTTAAACCTACTGTATAATGTTTTTATTATTATTCCCTCCCTAAATTAACATACTTTGAATACAAACATATCTAACAATAGGCTTACTAGATCACAATGTTCTGTGTCAGTTTTAATTAGTTCCTATCATTAGGAAATGGCAGTAGCGAATGGAAGGTCAGTCTCCTCAGCTCAGTTTAAGCACGGATTTTAGCAGACAACAGAGCACTACCTAAAAAACTTCCAAATAAAAACTAAAAATTACTGTTAGTAAAAGCATCAAGGCAGAAAGAAAACGACCCTTCCCCAGATGGAAGACTGATATTCTTGCATTTAATCTGTAAAAATGTAGTGATTTCACATACACTAAATGTAAAGAGTACTTTAAATCCACTGTAGGAGGTTACTGGATTAACGTGTCACTCATGTCTATGTGGCTACTTTAAAACAGCCTCGTTACTATGTATCTCTCTGCGGGCCAGCGGTCAGGTGCAGCCTGTTACAGTTGCTTGCGAGGCTGCTGGCATCCTGACTGGAGGGCAGAGTCCACTCCCGGCTGGCTGTTTCCCATCCAGCTTCCTGACCGTGAGCCTGGGAAGGCAGCAGACATGTCCCAAGGACTGGGTCCCTGCCCCCACACAAGAGACCCAGACAGAGTTCCAGGCTCCTGGCTCTGGCCTGGCCCAGTCCTGGCCATGGCAGCCACCTGGGAATGAACCAGCAGATACAAGGCCTCGCTCTGTCACTGCCATTCAAATAAAACTAGAAGAATTGTCCACTCGTGTTCCAGTTCCTCCACTCCCAATCCAGCTCCCTGGTCATGACCTGGGAAGAGCAGCGGAAGATGGCCAAAGTACTTGGGTCCCTGCACCCATGTGGGAAAAGCAGATGAAGCGCCTTGTTCCTGGCTTCAACCGTTAAGGGGAGTGAACCAGGGGATGGAAGATACCTCTTTCTCCTTCCCTCCCTCCCTCCTTCCCTCTTCCATAACTCCTTCAAATAAATAAACCTTAAAAAAATAAATAAATAAAAAGAAAAGAGAGGCAGAGGAAGGAGAGACAGAGATCTTCCACCCACTGCTTCACCCCAAGTGGCTACAGTGGCAGAGGCGGGGCCAGGCCAAAGCCCGGAGCCCAGAACTCCATCTGGAGCTCCCATGCGTGCAGCAGGGACCCAAGCATTTGGGCCATCTGCTGCTGCCTCCCAGGTACATCTGCAGGGAGCTGGATCAGAAGCAGAGCAGCAGGGACTTGAACTGTCACTTTGATATGGGGTGCCGGCATTAACCTGCTGCGCCACAGCGCCAGCCCCAGCACCTCAAATTTTCAGGAAAAATCCCAACAGAGAGCCACACAGACAGAAAATCAGATTTACAAAGGCGGTCCTCAAGTACCCGGCCGGGTATCAATGTCTGAAGTGAGGAGCTGGGCACAGGAAGGGCCATCACAGAGGCCAGAAGCAGCCTGTAGGACGGCGACAGTCTCCACGGCCACACCCCAGAGCCTCACACAAGGGGCACCAGGTGAGTACGCAAGGGTACTGTCTTAGCACCAGGGAATACCCCACTTTGGTCCTAACAAATCTTAAGAGAGAACAGGAGGGTAGACTTCTGCTGTGACACCAGATTCCCACGCAGGAGCACCAGTTCAAGTCCCAGCTGCTCCGCTTCAGATCCAGCTGCCTGCAGTGCGCCTGGGAGCGCACGGAGGCCGGCCCAAGTATGGGCACCTGGATGGAGCAAAACCTCCGCAGTGCTAACAGAAAAAACTACAGTGCTATCCCCACTAAAACTAGCTCTCAAAATGAAGGTGAAAACACACTCTCGGACGATAAAAACGCAAGGATTTCGCACCTGCAAACCTGCCCAAGGATGTGGAAGAAGGAAAACAAGCCCAGAACAAAGCACAGATCTAACCTGGCTCTCACGATGACAAAGGAAAGACGGACACCGGCGGGCAAGAGGACCACGTGCGGCCTGCGAGCAGAATGAGCTACACGGGTTCATCACTCCACACATGGCGGAAGCAGGCACAGGGACATCCCCAGAGCAAGCCTGCTCCCACGCTGTCCGTGACGTGCCATTCCCAGCAAGGTCATCGGAAATCAGTCTGGGAAAGCCGGAATGGCCCAAACACCAGCCCAACTCAGAGCTCCGGGTGTTACCCCGTGACATGTGAGGAGCAGCAGGAAAACGATTCTCTGGGAAATCCTTAAAAACAATGTAATACTTTATCCATTTTAGTTTTTTTTTTTTTTGTTCTAGTACTATTGGTTGAACTCTGTCATTAACACACAATTATTCTTAGGTGTTTAAATTTTAACTGAAAAGTGATCCCTGTTAAATATAAGAGTGGGAATAAGAGAGGGAGGAGATGTACAATTTGGGACATGCTCAATTAGACTTGCCCCAAATGGTGGAGTTAGAAACGTGCCAGGGGATTCCAATACAATCCCATCAAGGTGGCATGTACCAAGGCCATCTCACTAGTCCAAGTGATCAATTTCAGGTCACAATTGATCACACTGATAGGTCTAAGAGTCAAAGGGATCACACAAACAACACTAGTGTCTGCTAATACTAACTGACAGAATCAAAAAGGGAGAGAATGATCCAACATGGGAAGTGGGATACACAGCAGACTCATAGAATGGCAGATGTCCTAAATAGCACTCTGGCTCAGAATCAGCCCTTAAGGCATTCAGATCCGGCTGAAGAGCCCATGAGAGTATTTTAGGCATGGAAAGCCAAGACTCTTGGGGGGGGGGGGGGGACGACCTAAATGAAAGATCTCTGTGAGTGAGATCCCAGTGGAAAGGGCCATCAAAGAAGGAGGTACCTTTCTCTGAAGGGAGAACTTCCACTTTGACTATGACCCTGTCGGAATAAGATCGAACTCGGCTAACTCAAAAGGCTTCCACAGCCTTGGCAACTCAAGACTAGAGCCCAGGGAGATTACTGACGCCATAAACAACAGTGTCAAATTGTTAAGTCAACAACAGGAGTCACTGTGTACTGACTTCTCATGTGGGATCTCTTTCCTTAATGTGTTGTCCAATGTGAAGTAATGCTATAACTAGTACTGAAACAGTATTTTACACTTTGTGTTTCTGTGTGGGTGCAAACTGATGAAATCTTTACTTAATATATACTAAATCGATCTTCTGTATATAAAGATAATTAAAAATGAATCTTGATGTGAATGGAATGGGAGAGGGAGAGGGAGATGGGAGGGGTGCGAGTGGGAGGGAAATTATGGGGGGGGAGCCATTGTAATCCATAAACTGTACTTTGGAAATTTATATTTACTAAATAAAAATAATCCCCTCCAAAAAAAAAAAAAGAGCACTGGCAAAGATTACTACGTTTGTCTCATTATTTAATTATCTTTGAGAGATTACTGAAGGGCCTGCGATGTGGCATAGCCTGTAAAGCCGCCGCCTACAGTGCGGGCATCCCATATGGGTGCTGGTTTGTGTCCTGGTTGCTCCACTTCTGATCCAGCTCTCTGCTGTGGCCTTGGAAGGCAGTGGAAGATGGCCCAAGTGTTGGGCCCCTGCACCCATGTGGGAGACCTGGAGGAAGCTCCTGGCTCCAGATCAACTCAGCTCCGGCTGATGCGGCCAACTGGGGAGTGAACCAGTGGATGGAAGATCTCTCTCTCTCTCTCTCTCACCCTGACTTTCAAGTAGATGTTAAGGGAGTGAACCAGTGGATGGAAGATCGATCTCTCTCTCTCTCTCTCTCTCTCTCTCTGTTGCCCTGACTTTCAAGTAGATGTTAAAATACATTTTAAGAAGTAGGTTTTTTAAAAAAAAGCTACACAAATGCAACATAAAGCAAAATCAAAGCTGGCAAAAGCTTTCCTGTGCATCATTACCCTAACAGGTCTCTAACCACCTGTCACCCCATCACACAGTTTAGATATAAAGTATCTGATCACAGCCAGTCACCAGTGATTATATACAGTGCAGAGCAGAGAGGACCGAGGAGAAGACAAAGGAAGTAAAGACAGTCTGTGGCTTCAGACCACCTGCCCCCGTCTAGTGCACAGCACCAACTGTGGTTCCAATGCAGAAGCCCCTACCGTGGCTTGCTCTTCCTTAGCCACACGGCAGGTCTGAATGTTCTCGGAGCTAGAGTTCCATCGTCCCTGCTCCGCCCCTCAAACCTTTAGCGGACGACCGAGGTGCAGAATGCTGGGCTCTACGTGAGTGCCAAGACTCTGGTAGAGAGCCAGCACTGTGGGTGGGGGGCTAAGCCTCCGCCTGCAGTGCCAGCATCCCATATGGGCATGGGTGCGAGTCCCGGCTGCTCTTCTTCCAATCCAGCTCTCTGTGATGGCCTGGGAAGGCAGTGGAAGATGGCCCAGCCCTTGGCCCCTGCACTCACAGGAGAGACCCAGAGGCAGCTCCTGCCTCTTGGCTTCAGACTGGCCCAGCTCCAGCCGCTGCGGCCATCTGGGGAGTGAACCAGCGGATGGAAGACTTCTCTCTGTGTCTCTACCTTTCTCCTCTGTAACTCTGCTTTTCAAACAAATCTTAAAAAAAAAAAAAAAAAAAAAGGCTGGCCAACACCCAAATATCAACCTGCGTATTCACACACCTTTACGTTCATTCCTAATGTGAAGGTCGTCACATGAACTTAGATTTTATTTTAACTAAATTCTAGATAAAAGACTGAAAGAAAAAAACACCAATGTACATGTGCAAGAGTTGTGTAAAACCCTTTCTTCAGCGTTTCCGTGAAGAAAAGGACCTTAAAATCATCTTATTTTCTCTTATGCAAAATTGATCCAGATCATCCTAAAGACAGGACTTTACACACGACAGAAAGCCCCACAATGAAGACACTTCTCTTAGCATTTTTAATTTTAAATGGTTCCCATCATGGATCTAAAAACAACGCTGATGAATTGTCATGGAAGTTTATCATCTGGGTCTGCCTAGTTCACAAGGTGACACGGGAGCGGGCGCAGCAGCCCAGCAGTCTCAATAACTGGGTTTCTGTACTCAGTGTCACCCCCACTGCTGAACAGCTGGGCTGTGGCCCGCGTCCCGGTTCTCCCACATGTGAACAGATGAAGGGGCCTCAGCATTCCCTAAAACGCCACACAGTTTTACTATAAACTCTTGTCCCCATTGTTATTATTCACTTCATCTTACAGGTTCCTTCACTAATAGGATTATCTAGAAAACAGTAATTATTTAAATGTGTTAGCTGAGACAGGCATTTGGCCTAGCAGTTAAAGAACTACATCCAAACTGCAGTGCCTGGCTCTGCTCCCCAGCCCAGCTCCTGATGTCAGCTTCCAGCCACTGCCAGTGCAGACCCTGGAGGCCACGGCGAGAGTGGCTGGGTCCTGCTGCCTAGGGGAGACCTGGACTGAGTTCCTGGTTCAGGCCCAACCCCGCCCTGGCCATCACAGGACTCTGGACAGTGAGCCAGGAGGTGCGAGTGCACACACAGACTCACTCTATTTCTGTCAAGTAAGTAAAATTTTCCTTAAAAATAGATTAGCCTTTCGGAGCAAAAAAAATCGCTTCCTTGTTATCCTTTACAAGGAAACTACGACCTCGAGTTCTAGTCTCATCAGGGCCTTGCCTCTTACCAGGGAACGTTCCAGTTCTCCCTGTGAAGTTCAGATGTGACACTCAGCCAGAGTGCTCAGGCACATGGCATGAACACAGACACAAGGCCCCACTTTGCTGTCAGGTTTCTGTCTGCTCTGGCACAGTGACGTCTGCACATTCACGCCGTGACACCCTCAGCACACACTCAGGCAAGCTCAGCAGACACTGAGTTGTTTTGTTTTTTTTAAAGATGTATATATTTGTTAGAAAGGTGAGGAGACACACACACACACAGCCACCAGTTTACTCCACAAATGACCGCAATAGCCAGGTCGAAGCAGAGAGCTTCATGTGTGTCCCCCACATGAGTAGCAGGGGCCCACGCAATTCAGCCATCTTCCACTCACTGCCTTCCCACACACGTCAGCAAGAAGCTGGGTCAGAAATCGGATCTGCAGCAACACGGGGAGGGGGCGCACAAGTGGTGGCTGAACCAGCTGCCCGATGCCGGCCCCACAGAGCTGCTGAGCAAGTTCAAGCCATTTCAAGGACCCTGGACTTAAAAACAGCCCTGGCGGTGACAGCAATGACCCGCCACAGGCTGAAAGAACCTGTGCAGACGTGAGGTCCACAGTAGCGCTGCTGCACACCTGTGAGTGTGGCAGAGCAGGGGAGACACAGCCAGCAGGCCCCTGCCTGCCCCCATGGCAACCCCGAGAACACTGCACCAAGGTGAGCCGCGCCAGGCTGGGCCTCCAGCACTCAGGGTCCGGGAGCCGTGGAGTTTGGATCAGACAGGGACTAGAGAAACAAAGTGAGTTTTTAGAGTCAATGCATTTTTGTTAAATAATGATATGTAACTTTTTAACTTTTTAAATAAATAACAAGATTTTTAATGTGTGTCTCCCTCAGGATTATGAAAGTTTTTTTTCTCCCTGAAATACAGATCGTGGGAAAAATATGTTTTTTATCTCCTAGCACCAACTGCTGTACAGCAATGCTGCAAATAACGCCTGAATAAAAGTGGCTAAGCCAACAACAAAAATAAAATACTCTTCGTAGTAGTTTTATAATCTCTCAATTTGAAAAGCTTCCCAAAGTGCACTTGCCTTTAAACAAGACTGTCGCAGCTTTCACTCTATTTATTTCGTGTCCCGTGTTTGTGAAAGCGCTGCGCAGTTTCAAGTGCACGGCCAGTAAGTAACGCTCAGGGCCCGCAGTCTGTCCCAGGACAACAGCTAAGGAAGAGCAGACCGAGCTTTAGGAAACACGCTAACGCGTCACGCACGCCGCTGGGACACAGGTGAAAACAGCTTTTGCATATTTATGAGGGGAAGTGGTTGGGAACCTTTAACAAAAGTGGGGTGTTGATTTCTGTACAGCGTGTGGGCATTTACACATATTTTTAATGTATTAAAACTTGGTGATTATGTGCACATGAAATTAATAAAATCATTACATCCTGTTATGATCTGTGAATTCCCTTAAAACCTTGGATTTTTAAGTAAATTTATATCAGAAATGATACTGCATCTTTATATATTTTTTTAAATTGTATTGCTGCCAAAGAATGGTACCCTATTGTCCAAGAGGCATACATTCATCATTGTACATTTAGCATTGTAAATATCCTTATGAAGTCTTTGAAGCTATTCAAAATAAAAATTTAAATGAATGAAGTAACCAAAAGAAATCAATGCATTTAATTCTTTGCCTAGTTTACATGCTTTCAGAATGACATAAACTAGCTCCAAGTGGTTTGTTCACCAAAGAAGAGAGGACAGATCCAGGTATTTTTCCCAGCAAGCAGACAGACACGGTAACATCAGAAATTTCAAATCATTAATAATTTAATAATGAACTCAGAGTGAGGGGTCCTTTTGAAGAGGTTCACTAATCTTCAAAAACCTTACTTCTGATCTAACCATGTTCTGCGAAATACAGAGCTGTCTCCTCTTACCACCACACGTGTCGCTGCAGACAATCCGGTGACAGCCCCTACGAGCGCCCAGGACCAGGGTGCGCTGTCAGAGCTTCCTATAGACCATGAGGACACACTCTGTCTGTGGTTCCGTGTCTTTAGCGTACAAGTATGCCAGACACGTGGCCCACTCAGAGTACTCCCCCTGTTCATACTTCTCTCCTACTTGAGGTGCAGTCCCAGCACATGGAAACCGCCTCAGACAGCAGCGCCTCTGACACGCTGCGCCAGTGTCCCCACGCCTGTCTCCTCCAGCTCCCTGACCTGCAGCACAGCCGCCCACACCAAGCGCCAGGCGCCCTGTCCAGCACTGCCCTCCCACAGACGCCATGCGTCAGCCCCGAAGCGCTTCCATTTTCCTGTATCATACACACTCTCATTAATTTTTTAAGTAAGTATTTTTCTAAAAATGAAAATAGAGGGGCCAGCACAGTGGCATAGCGGGCAAAGCCACTGCCTGCATCCTATATGGGCGCCGGTTCAAGTCCTGGCTGCTCCACTTCCAATCCAGCTCTCTGCTATGGCCTGGGAAAGCAATGTAAGATGGTCCAAGTCCTTGGGCCCCTGCACCTGCATGGGAGACCTGGAGGAAGCTCCTGGCTCCTGGCTTTGGGTCGGCGCAGCTTTGGCCGTTGCAGCCATCTGGGGAGTGAACCAGTGGATGGAAGCTAGCTAGCTAGCTCTCTTTCTCCCTCTCTCCCACTCTGCCTCTCTATAACTCTGCCTTTCAAATAAATAAATAAGTCATTAAAAAATTCATTTATTTATTTGAGAGAGAGAAATTTCCACCTGCTGATTCAGTTCCCAAATTCCCACATGAACCAGGGTGTGGCTAGGAGCTCTGCCTCCCTACATGGGTGGCAGGAACCCAAGGACTTGGACTACCACGTGCTGCATCCCAGGTACGTTAGTAGGGAGCTGGACTGGAAGTGTGGAGTAGCCGGGACTTGAACTCGGTATTCCAATACAGCATGCAGCCGCCAAGGGCAGCATAACTCACTAGGCCACAGTACCTGCCCCTAGACCCAAGTAATCTTTATGCTTGAAAGACAGGGAAGATAAAGAAGGAAAAACAAACATAGGGGCTGGTGTTGCGGTGCGGCGACTTAAGCTGCACTTCTAATTCAGCTTCCTGCTGATATGCCTGTAAGACAGCAGATACCTGCCACTCACGTGGGACACCCAGGCCTGGCTGCTGTGGGTATGAGAGGCGTGGCCCAGCAGATGGGAGATCTCTCTTCCTATGTCACTCTTTCAAATAAATAAGTAAATCTTAAATAAGCAAACACAAAACCAGAGCACGAAGGCTAGGCCACCACTTCAGCCCTTACCAAGTGCCAATTCAAGTTCCAACTGCTCTGCTGGAATCCAGCTCCCTGCCGGCGCGCCTAGGAAGGCGACAGATGACGGCCCCAGTGCGTGGGCGCTGCCACCACGGGAGAGCTGCACGCCGCTCCCGGCCCGGCCCCAACTGCTCTGCTGGGAATCCAGCTCCCTGCCGGCGTGCCTAGGAAGGCGACAGATGACGGCCCCAGTGCGTGGGCGCTGCCACCACGGGAGAGCTGCACGCCGCTCCCGGCCCGGCCCCAGCTGCTCTGCTGGAGAGCCAGGCAGCAGATGGCAGCTCTGTGTCTCCCTTTCAAATACATAAAAAATCCTTAAAAAATACTTTGATAGTAACAATGTACAGGTGGATGCAATCAGTTCTACACAGATTCAGGAGTACTAAGTAGACGTCCATTCACGCAAGACAAATGAGAGCTCAGTCAAGTGTGTAAGGAAACAGCTCCACAACCCATCTGGAGAACTCCACCCCGCAACTGCCAGCGCTGCGGTCACATACACCTCCACGCTTCGCTCAGCCTCTACGTTCCGTCTTGTCAGCTCCGACATGAAGGAGATGAACTGCTCATGTCAAGTTACATTGTTTACAACTTTTACACAATTCCTTGTTATCTGACAATTCCTACTCATCTGTTAACATTTCTGATTTAAAAAGCTGGATTGGCCGGCGCTGCGGCTCACTTGGCTAATCCTCCGCCTGCGGGCCGGCACCCCAGATTCTGTCCCGGTTGCCCCTCTTCCAGTCCAGCTCTCCGCTGTGGCCCGGGAGGGCAGTGGAGGATGGCCCAAGTGCTTGGGCCCTGCACCCCATGGGAGACCAGGAGAAGCACCTGGCTCCTGCCTTCGGATCAGTGCAGCACACCGGCCATGGCGGCCATTTGGGGGGTGAACCAACAGAAGGAAGACCTTTCTCTCTGTCTCTCTCTCTCTCACTGTCTAACTTTGCCTGTCAAAAAAAAAAAAAAAAAAAAAAACACCACCACCAACAACAAAAGCTGGATCGCCAGATTGGAAAGAGTTCTTACAGGGATTTACAAAAACGACTTTTGCCCCTGACAGGGGCTGGCGAACTTCATGTCAGGAGTTCACGGGGTGAAACACACAGCAGAGGACGGGGGAAGTGCACACACCCACAGGTGAAGGGGTAACAACAAATCGCTACCAAAGCAAAGTCCAAGACGACAACAAAGTTGTCATCGCAGAATTCTGAACACTTCTATAGAAACTGTCGGAAATGTGAGCAAACAGTTAAATTCGGGGAATCTTAAAACTTCAATCCGGGGACAATGAAACTAATTTTAAGAAATGCAAACTTTCAAAAACCCTAAGCAAGTTTATTTAGAAACAGAAAAAAATTTTTTTTACTTGACAGATAGAGTTAGTGAGAGAGAGCGACAGAGAGAAAGGTCTTCCTTCCGTTGGTTCACTCCCCAAATGGCCGCCACAACCGGAGCTGTGCCGATCCAAAGCCAGGAACCAGGTGCTTCCTCCTGGTCTCCCATGGGGTGCAGGGCCCAAGCACTTGGGCCATCCTCCACTGCCTTCCCAGGCCACAGCAGAGAGCTGGCCTGGAAGAGGGGCAACCGGGACTAGAACCCGGAGCCCATATGGGATGCTGGCGCCACAGGCAGAGGATTAACCAAGTGAGCCACGGCACCAGCCCCTAGGAACAGAAATTTAAAACAAGATTTTTATAATTTTTAAAATGGCAAAAAACTCTTAATACAATGAAACCTGCTTTGTCAAATTATTATAAAAAGCTGTAAGCTACATGATACATACTACAGATCCCTAAAATAGCCTCAGGTGATAACCAACACTTCAGTCGTGTCTTCATGTCTGAATATGAGAAATGTCTGATTCAGTTAGAAATTCTCTACAGACTCTGATTCATAGCCAATTAGGAATTTTAAAGGGTCCAAGAGAAATTTTCTATTTGATTATGTAGCAAGATACACACTGCAAAACTCAGAACAGGATCAAAGTACATGTTTTCATTTTTCATTCACTAATTATATGCTTTGGATGTTAAGTTAAACCTGTAGACGTGGTTCTTAAGGTAACTACAGTAATTTTTCTAGCTCTTAGGCAGCTATTTAAATAGGCAGCAGCATCCAGAAAAGAACCTGCTATAAAGTTTCCTCAAAGTATAAAATCTGTTATTCACTACAGAACTGCTTCCTTTTAGGTAATTCGGAGAAACACCAGAGCGGCAACGTAGCAGGTCTGCTCACTGCAGCACACCTCCCAACTCTGGTAAGCTGGCTGCACCCAGGCCCTCCAAGAAACAAAGTCGACAGCATTTCTTTATGGATCCTGTTTGCCTCTCCGGAACACACTTCGGGATACTATGAACCAACATTTCCCCAAGACCAAGTCACAAGCAAGACGCAGACTGCCTGAGGGCCTCACATCCTGATTTCCTGACACTGAAGTCACCCTGAAGATGGGATTCAGGGAGATCACTGCTAATCCTCCTTTGTTTCCTTAAATTTCCCGCAGGGACGGTCCTACAGTCAACAGCTCCCCTTTCTACACAGCAGCAGAAATTCCAGGTCCTCCCCTTCCCTGTGGGCACCCCCGGCCTCACTTACTACCTCTGACCACACGGGTGCAGGGCTAACAGGCAGCAGAGTCCACTCTCAGCATCTCTCCCTGGGCAGGGTGCACACTGCCTGCGCCACCCCACAGCAGCGAGGCAGGCACGAGAGCACCACCGAGGGACAACCCTCAACAGTGTCCCTACACTTCCCTGACACTACAAGACAATTAGGCTTCAACGGCCGGGGAGGCAGAGCCTCCGAGAGCCCACACGGACACTAGCCCAGAGATGAGAAGCAGCTGAGGGAGAGACGCTGACCAAAGGAGCAACACCCGTACTTAAAGGACACCTGCACGTATCAGGCAGTCGCTGGGTGTAGAAAGACCACCAAACTCACAGCACTGAGGCAGCCCTGCGCCTGAGAAACACAGAGAAACCCTTTAAAGCCAAAACACTGACGTCCATGCTATCCTACGGGTCGGTCCCCATTTTAAAAAAATACACATTCCTCAAATACTTTAAAGAATTTTTTAAAAGATTTCTTTATTTGAAAGGCAGAACAACAGAGGGAGGGAGAGACAGAGAAATGCCTCCATCCGCTGGTTCACTCCCAAGTGGCCACACAGCTGGGGCTGGGCTAGGCTGAAGCCAGGAACCAGGAGCCCCAAGTGGCTTTCCCACCTCCACTGCTTTCCCAGGAGCGTGAGCAGCCAGGACTCCAATAAGGGACGCAGGCACACGGTATGCGATGCCAGCGTTGCAGGCAGCAGCTTAACCAGCTGTGCCACACTGCTGGTCCCTTAATGAACTTTTGAATTATTTTAATTTCTCAAATCCACATGGATTTTTCATAATACACATTTTCCACTGAACCTGTTATCTGGGCCTCAATTTGTACAAAAACGTCCACACACACACACAGCACACTTCACAAATGCTGGTGGAAAAGTGGAGCTACAAAGACAATCCAGGAGTGGGCGATTCGGCCAGCAGTCAGGACACCTGCCTCCCAGCCCGAGCTCCTCACCAACACGGTTCCCGGGGAGACACGAGGTGATGGCTCAAGCGGCAGGGTCCCGCCCACCCCACCAGACAGCTGGATGGACTTCCTCGGTCCGGACTCTGGCCAGCTCTGTCGCAACCACTGCAGCCATTGGTGGCGACAAGTGGATTAGCGTGCTCTCACACTCCGTCTCTCTGCCTCTTTAAAAAAAAAAAAGTTATTTTGGTGCAAAAAATTTTGAAATCCATGCATTTTTTGGTAATAAACATTTTCGTTCGCTCCAAAGTTATCTGGGCCTCAATCTGTTCAAGAATGTTACACACATGGGGCCAGCACCATATTGCACTAGGTTAATCCTCTGCCTGCGGCGCCGGCATCCCATATGGGCGCCGGTTCTGGTCCCGGTCGCTCCTCTTCCAGGCTAGCTCTCCGCTGTGGCCCCGGAGGGCAGTGGAGGATGGCCCAAGTGCTTGGGCCCTGCACCCCCATGGGAGACCAGAGGAAGCACCTGGCTCCTGGCTTCGGATCGGCGCAGGGCCGACCATGGCAGTCATCTGGGGAGTGAACCAACGGAAGGAAGACCTTTCTCTCTGTCTGTCTATAACTCTATAACTAGTATGTTTCATCACGAAAACACACACGCTGCACATATAGTTACATGCAGAATGTGTGGGTGTGAGGGTCTCAGAGAAACAGGAACAGACTTGCCCTATACTACTCCAGAAGATCAGCAAGTCAAATCAGTTCACTCAAATATTCCTAAGAAAAACCCTGCTGGAGTGTGGCAGCCACTGTTAAGATGCCCCCAGGCCCCAGGCTGAGGGCCGTGAGTCTGGCTGCCGAGACTGCTGTGTCAGCTCCTACAGGGACTGCAGAGAACGTCCCTAGCCACCATCTCTCCTTCTCCCTGGGTCGTGACTGACAGACGACCGCATACAGGCCTGGCCATCAAGCCCAACTCCAGGCAACTCCAAACTGCTACTCCGGCTTCCCAAGTCTCCGTGGCGTGACGGCTGGGCCGTGAGGCAGCTCGGTTCTGTCCAGAGCACAGACCCAGGAGCATGCTTCTCTGAACCCCCTGGCCAGAGAACCCAGCTGCTGACTCCGCCGTGGAACTGAAGGCCCTGTCCAGCTTCAAGTGTCCCCGAACGTCCCTGCACAGAAGTGTTACGTGCACGCTAAGACGCAGCAGGGGCACAACTCGCAAGTAACCGCAAAGCTAAGGCAGTGTGGTCCCAGCACACTCTACCTTTGGCTCTGCGGCTGAACCAGAATCCACGTCTCACTCCAGGGAACCCCAACGTGCACACTGCAGAACAGAGCCACTTCAGGCAACAGCATGCCCTTATAATCACCACTAATTTTCAATCCACTTCTGTTAAGAATACTAGCTAAGTCCTTCAAAATGTCTAGAACTGTGCCATCCAGATGGTAACCACTAGTGGCTATTTAAA